GTCAATTTTTAAGCTAGAGGGCTCAAAATCAATACAGTTCTTGCTTTTTATGCCACAAAGCTACGCTAAAAATGTCAGGTACCTAGCTCAACCCGTTCTCGAGTTATCGTGTTTACAGACAAACAGACAGACAGACACACACACACACAGACAGACAGACACGAAACTTTTTGATCTCCACTGGAGTAATAGGCTTCGCTATCGCTCAGCCAATTAAGAAAAGCTATGTCTTGCTTTTTCTTATATGACACTTCATTACTTCGATGCTCCCCTCTCTCTCGCACACTCGGCCGTCACGTGACCCGCAACCTGTCATTCCCCCGGCCATATCTCAAACGGCGCGGCGCGGCAAATCTTGGCGCGTTTCAAAATTATTATCAAGGGCCGCTGGGAGCGGAGAGTTGCATTTGGATTACACCGAAGCAGCTCGGCCGGGCGTGGGCCGAGCGTCCGGCGGGGATAGGACGCGGAGCGTAGGAACACAACAAAACAAACGTTGGGTCGAACGAGCCGAATGGGGATCTGTTCTGAAATAATAACGAAAATACTTTGACTTTCAGGAGAATTTTACTTTGAATGCCGTTAATCAGACCTCGCATCAAATAAGAGCTCGTTAAAAGCAGAATTTTACACTAAAAATTGTGTAATGAATAACGGCGAGCTTCGGATTGCGCTGGCCGGAAAACATTTTCCGCTAACAAATGCATTTGAAAGAAGGTACGTGGAGTGAGAGGTAGGGATCAGAATATGCGACGAAGAGAAGAGCAGAATACAGTTATCTGGGAAGAGCGAGAGCGAAGAGCAGAAAAGGCAGTGTGAGGAGGAGATGAAGGGCAGGTAGGGCAGGGCAGGAGGAGGTGGACCAAATAATAAAAAGAAGACGACAGCAGCAGCGGGGCGGGCACGTAGAGACCATCGTCCCACTCAGACGGCGACGGTATCCCAATCGGGCCGCCGTGGCTGCCGGCGTTCTAATCACGGTGTGGGCCACCTCCAACCCCCTCCCCCCTGTGGGGCCCGGCACGGATAAACAGAGCCATCGCGACACAACGAGGACCTAAGCGATACCGGGAATAGAGTATCGGACCGGGGACGTGCCGTCTGCTGGAGTAGCAATACGGAGAGTGGATTCGGCTCCGCGACCCGCCGTGCAGCCGCGCTCAACCCCTGGCTGTGGGGAGGTTCGCTAACGGCGTGATACACTGTATCTGGGAGACGGGGCAGGAAACCTGAGAGCGAGCGAGCGACCGAGAGAGAGAGAGAGAGAGAGAGAGAGAGAGAGAGAGAGAGAGA